GTCTCCGCCTCTCCGTACTTGAGACAAGTTTCTGATAGTAAACAAACGTCAATATTATTGATCGAGAGCTGAGCGAAAACATATAAAGAGATTATTGAAGAGAAAAATGAAATTCCATTTTCCATTACGTTTTACAATTCCCAGCAGTCCGCTAGCCATTACAATTTAATACCCATCCAAATGTATGCTGTTTTGTCAATAGGAAAAAATGAAATAACAGTGGTTTATAGCATACAACTGGCATCCGATTTGGATGAGTCGCATTGCTATTACATTGTGGAACAAAATCCATATTAGAATTAAAGAACAAAATAAAATATAATAAAATGTGTCCATCGCACTTGCATCTGAATCGGATGCCTTTGTATTGTTTTGTAAAGTTTTTTGTGTGAGTTGTTGCAGCCGGAGTTGTACCGTTATTATTTTTGATGCTTCTTTCTTTTTTAAAGCAAAATTTTATTCTGTGAAGTGTTTTTGAAAGTGCAAGTTGTGAATATTGAAAAAAAGTTAATAAAATAAATTAATAGAATAAGAATATAGTAAGTGTTGTGTGTTAAATAAGTTAAATAAAATGTCAGGATTCAGTAGGAGAAATTTAAGGCGATTAAAGAAAGTGGAAGCAGACAATTTAAAAAGAAATGCACAGTTGAGGACGGACTGTTTGGAAAACAATGATATTGTACTAAATGAGCAGATTCCATGCATTCAAAAATTGTAGAAGATTTTGGAAAATATGTAAGAATATTAAAAATTCTCCGTTATAATCCATTAATAATTTAATTTCTTTCAGGTTAGTATCATAGAAATTCTAATTTCACCAGATGGCCTCATTAAAAACTTCTGCAAAATTATTGACATTTCTATAATATTATCTTACAGCTATGATGGTACCCAAAATAAAAAGGCGTTTAAGGAATATAAACTTTTAATCATGGTTATTTTCGGTAAGTTAAATTTTTTCTTACATATTTATTGAAAAGTGATATTATATTACCTTAAAATGTAGTCCATTAGTCTATTCTATAGTATAACTGTTTAATATAAAAAAAATTGTTCTATATTTTCTATCCTTATTTCAGAAGCTGTCATATGTGAAGGATTCAATAAAAAGGATTACGCCAAAAAAAATTAGAAATTGTTTCGAAATCCCTAAGGCCAGACACTTCCGAACAATGTCCTAGAATAAAAAACTAGAAAATTTAATTTTTTTTCCTTTAGTATAAGCTTTGTTTCTTCCCACGTCTTTTGAATAAGTTTTATGAATTTCGTTTTTATGCATTATTTCTAATTATAATAAGAATATTTTATTGTCGAAAACACTGTTCTATAATACGAATATTTTAATAAAAAACAGCTGAAATTTAAGTTCCACAATCTAAAATGAAGATGGAATCGGACCCATCCAACCTTCGCTTACAATGTTGATAGATTTCGGAGCCATCCAACATTCGCTTACATTGTCGGTAGATTTCGGACTCGTCTGAAGGCCTAGGCCATCGCTGTGTAAATGTAAGTAGAAATTGTATACAGGCTTTGGATGGGTCGCATCTACATTGTCTGTGGTCTCAGATGGAAGATGTATGTGCAAAAATATTTTTTGTATGTATGTATGTTTTAAACTCTTCGGGTGACTTTCCATCCAGATTGTGCAGTAAAACTTTACATCAATGATGTGCATTATTAAATTGAGAGTGAGCGTAATTTTCAGTTACTATCAAAAATCGCTAACGTGTGTTTAGGCGGGGAATTGTGAGGAGGTGAAAGAAAGCAAATAAAAATAAAACACAAGTAGTGATTAGTTTAATTCAAAATAAGTTTGGTGGTTTATTGAGTTGTTCTTTTCGAGCAAACAAACAAAATTACCTTATGTAATTTGGGGTGGCACAGAGACCTTAGTGCTTACGTTTCAACTACTAAACGACAAGTGAACGCTGAGGTTCTTGCAATCGCAGTGATCGCCGAGGATCAATGTCGATTACTACTACTACATCTACAATTATTTCCAATGAGAGCAGAGTCTCGTATGTATCAAAGTGAGCTAACCAACAACAACCACCGCCCGGTGGCATCTGCGCTCTACGGTCTCCGCCGAGGGAAGTATGCCGAGGAGATGCCCGTTGTGTCAATCAGCATCCGTGATTGACTGGACTCGGGAAGTTGAAGGCCAACTTAAACACTGTGAATGGGCATAACACAATTTTTTGTTCACCAGTTGGATCATCTGTTTCAATGTTATTTTCTTGGATGAAATCTTTCCACACTTTGATGTGGACATTTTGTCTATATCAGAAGATATGTAAATTTTGGGATATACAATAGAAATAACTATATACAATAAAAAAAGAAGTGAACTTAGTTACCACCATCAATGAGTTTTGGCAGAGATATTTTTGAATAGACAGCGCCCTAATTAAATTTTAACACAATGATATGCATTTTAAACAATAGGTGTCAGATAATTTTTAAGTAGCATAGAATTATTATCCCGAGTACACTTAGAATAGGTTCCAGGAAGACTTAAAAGGTTTTATATAAATTGGAATTAACTCTCTTGTAAAACTTCCGAACTGGAAGATAAATACAAATGATGTCGGAAGAAATCCTATCATTGTATATGTTAAGCATTGATAACGCCATGCATTTATCTAATGGAACTATAAATTTATAAATGGAACTTTCCTCATTTGATCTTCGTCTAGCCGCTAGAAGCATCTAATATGCCTGATGATACTGGTTGGTGCGTGGGACTTTGCCAGATTCCATGCCATCTTCTTAGCGCAACTCCAAAGAGAAAACTACCGAATATTATATATTTTTTTTATATTTATGGATTCATGTCAATCTATGAATATAAAAGAAAGTTGTATTAGTTACTACGCTTATAACTCCAGAACCGCTGGTCAGATTTTAACGATTTAGACAAATTCGGAATTTTCTCTTGGCAGAAAATCGAAGAATATCGTTTAAAAATGTGAAATTTGAAAATTTTCATTTTGACTTTTGATATGTACAGTCGTAATATTTTATATTGCATAATTTTTTTTCAATTTTGGCTTAATATTTTCAAATGTACATTTGTAGTGTTTTTTTTTTTTCTTTTTGAATTCTAATATGATGTGTAGAGCGACAACGGACAAAACTGTTATCTATAAATTTTATGTATTTATTGGGTAAGTGGAACTATACGAATAATATCATTTCATATTAAAGAAGTTATGTTAGTTATAACTCAAAAACGGCTTGACGGATTTTCACAATTCATAAAATTTCGGAAGCTGAGTTTTCACATGGGGCTATTATAGATGTTCTATATCATATAGGTGCATAATGCTGAAAAATAAGATCAGGCTATTTAAGATATCTAAAACCGACGGTAGGTGATCATTTATAATAATGTTTGCCATGAATATTTATTTCTATTTAGAAATTACTATGGAGTCATTACTTATAATAAAAATTGTGCCGCTTACAAAAGTCAGATCTGTGATTTATTATGCCAACGCCAACCAGGCCAGCTAGTTGTTTATAAATATGAATGTTGTCTAAAATTCTTTATAATGCATAATAACATAAAAACATAATAACAAAATATGTATAAATAATGTTTTAACACTGATTTGTTGATGATTTATAAGGGTTGAATTTGTTGATGATGGACTTGCGAGAGATGATGTACTGATGTACATTGCTACCACTTGTGATTTTGGTGATATATGCTAAACTCGCTTTGTGTACCCAACGATTTGTTCCTCTGGAAATATTTAAAAATGTCATCCCTCTGATTGCCCTCTAGTATTGCTTATATATTATATTCCACTTGAAAAATTGGGAACATTTTGCGCTATTTGCCACCGCAGTTAATTAACCTCTTCATTTATTTCGAGACATTGGCAGGTTATTAAGACTTAAACATTATGTAAGTAGCTTCGGCCGGTGCTTGAGATTTCCTCATCTGTGTATTTCACAACTGAAATCACACGATGTGTGCAACTTCTACATATGAACAATTTGACACTACATATGTAAAACTCTTATCGTCTGATAGCAGCTTAATATGTAGCACCATCTGCATTATAGTGCAAACAAAAACTGCAAAGCGGCGATGAATTGCACAAATTTAAGATAGGCATCCGTGTTTTAACAAGGAAAATTAGAATCGCTGTATACCTTTTTAAATGAGGTCCGTTAGTATCCCTGGATATAGCATCTGTTACTATTTTCGGAATGAAAGGGACACATATTTCTTGACAGCAACGTTTTTAAACCTCTGTTTCCGCAAAATGCACATCAGATAAATAAGTATTGATTCTAAAATTAAAACAAATATTTTGTATTTCCTACTCATTTGTCGACTTTTAGTAGCTAAAACATGGGTAATAGCTTTAGGATGGCACAGGACATAAGTTTTTTTTTTTTTTTAATACACCTCATGATTATTAGGCAGTTTGTACAGCCATATTATCAAAATACGCAGGGGCATAACTCCATATCAACCAAAGTTGAGAAACTTTTGGATGTGTTAAGTTTTGTTGACAAAAAATCAAAAAGTCCCATTGTTTTTCAATATTACTATCTTATTTTCTAATTTTAGTCCTACATTCAAAGTACCAATCGACACACGGTCAAAATTATTGTTTGTGTTTTGAATATGATTCCAACTAGGTCCTACTAGAGCCTTTTAAATTATAGCTGTCCATTAAACCGATGCCTGTCAATTAAAGAAAAACGGATTATGGTCACAAACAATGCAAAATCTTTTAGTGTCTTCTTCAGGTCAACGGTAATGACGGACTTTAATTCAATGGGTGGCGGCGTGTTCTGAGTGGTTTTCCTGAGTATTTCCAATTCGTTCACTGCCAACATTATCTTTCAGGCCAATAACGTTTTTGATTATTCAAGCAAGCTGGGTGGATGCATTTGCTACATAGCCCGTCACCCGTTGTCGTTAAGCTAATCACAGTTTGATTAAGTGAATGTTGGAAAGAGGTTAACACACTTACCTTTGTAAGGGGTATTGGAAGATTGTTGGCCACATTTACATTGTTTATATGATGACGCATTGCGACCACATCAACGTTAAGGCTAAGCGATGTTGGAACCGCTGGATTTGGGGACGCCGAAGATGAAATGCATGCCAGTGGGGAGGTAGATGTCGTATTTTGATTCGATTGTTGCTGCTGTTGTTGTTGAGAAATTAATCGGGTGCAATCGGGAAGGCTTGGTCGGTTGTTGGACATTCCCGTCATGGAATTGTTTAAAGCTACAGCGGCTGCGGCGGCCGCGGTGGGCGATGCTATATACTGTGGCAGTGTGAGGGGCGCAAACATCGATGATGACATTAACATATTTTGGTGTGGTGAATGGGTACTCGATAATGGGGCATTTGGAAGTATGGCTCGTGGATGGCCGTTCAGAATTGACGAAGTTAAGGCGGATCCGGGACGCTGAACGTTCGTCGAGGATGCATTACTTCCATGCAAGTTATCCACGGCAGTTGTACAAGCCAGCTTTCCCACTGCATGCGGATTAAATGTTGCGTGCTGATGATAGTTATTCGTCGCAGCATTGGCCTGCACTTGAATGGGACTGACCGCGTTTGTATTCACATTACCCTGGTGTGGATTCGTTAGGACGTGACATGTTAGAGACGTATTGTTGGTAGCCAAATACGAATCCATGGGTGTAGATCCAGGCTGGCCATATGCCATTGGAATCATTTTCTGTATTGGTATACCCCATGGTAGGTACCACGATCCTCCTTGATATTGCATATTATTTGTTTGCCTTTTGCAATTAAATTATGTTTGTATTCTCTTCCTGATATTTTACAGCTACGTGTTTTTATTATCACAAAAATCTGTTCGAAAATTCCAGGGCTTATATTAAAATTACCAAATTTCCATTTTCAAATACCCGACACATGTACACATTTAACTCTGCATTCCGAATAGTTATGGTCGAAAAGTGTGCACTAAAACTACATATGTACATAGCACTTTAAAGTATCCCGAAATTTAAGTAATTTCTGTAGTAATGCCCGATCGGCCTTGCGAAGTAAAGAAATAACATACCCCAGACAAAATATTCACGTTCAGCAATATCTAACCTAATTAATTTCATTTATATACATGAGTATGTTTTGTGCAGACAACTGAACCGTACAGATTCCACCATTGTGTGAAGGGCTTGTAAATTTGTAATATATCGAAGAAATCTGATCAGAAGCAAATGTCAATATATAATGGTGTCCACGAATTTAGTGAATTAGTATGGACCTATATACAGTCTATTAATAAATGTACATATGATCCATACAATCGTGTTCAATAAGTAGATCGCTACTTGAAAGTGGAATTATATAATGTACCTGCGTATGACATATAAGGGTAAAACTTGCTGCTTTTAAAGTGATGGTTTCTGGGTTTGTGTGTTCAATAGGCTGAAAAATGCGAGAATAATCCAAAATAGATACTCTTGTAAATAAACCTATATTACTAGCGGGTTTTAATGGAGAATATAGCTCACTGTGAATTGCTCTATCAGATTTCGGCTCAGTTCGGTAACAAAAAATAATCACGATTGGGTACAAATGGACATTATCAAATAATGCCATATCGGTAAACAAAAAATCCTCAAAATGCATAGCGCCTACATAAAGAGTAAAATACTTCGAGTATTTCTGTCAAGCTCAATTGTGGTATGTGTTGGAGAATATTTTTGTCTTTGACAGCATCTCTCTAAAATTTTATTTTATTGTAGACCTTGACACGGATTCACAAAAAGTACGGCTTTCCCCCTTGAAGGTGTTTTCGCAAATTTACAACATTAGTTTTGTCTGTGATTGTAAGTGATTAATCTCGTTCGATAATTCAATTGCTGTAATTGTGCCACGAGCGATCGATATTATCATTAGGGAAATCCGCATGCGGAATTGCTAAGTACAACATATAATATGAAAAGAGTCTGGCATTATTAAATGTCATAAGGCCAGTTTAAAAAGTAAGTACTTTAATATTGCTTTTAAATTCGTAAATTCAGATTTGAATGTATTCAATAAAATCCGTTAAAAATTCTGTTAAAATCTTAAAAATACCGAATGTAGCATATTAGGGTCCATACGACGACATGGACCTGTGTAGGTAACTTTTGTCATAAGCCATTACAATATTCAAATGCAAAACTTAAAAAAATCGGTAAATAATGTAGCTACAATCATCAAAATACCGAATATCAGAAGGTACCGTTATATGGGGGCTATTCTGTCATAGGCTGTAGCATCCATTACGACATCAAATACCAAATTTGAAACAATTACGGTGAATAATGTTGCTTAAATCATCAAAATACCGAATATCGGGAGTTACCGTTATAGGGGGCTATACGAAGACGTGGACCTGCACAGACAATTTTCTGTCTTAAGTTGTAATATCCATTTCAAACTTCAAATACCAAATTTGAAACAATTCCGGTGAATAATGTCGCTAAAATCATCAAAATACCGAATATCGGGAGGTACCGTTATATGAGGGCTATACCGAAACGTGGACTTACATGGCCCATTTTCAATACGAAAGGTCCTGCAGACAAAATATACATTTGAGTCAAATTTAAATATACATTTGTAAATGTAAATATACCTTTGAGTAATTTTCCACAGACGGATAAACGGACGGACATCGCAAAATCGACATAGAATTTTATGCTGATCAAAAATATATATACTTTGTGGGGTCGCAAATGTATATTTCGAGGTATTTCAAACGGAATGACAAACTTCATATACCTTCCATACAATGGTGGAGGGTATAAAAATCGTAAGTGGAACATAATAATGACAACACTGTATTCAAAGCAATTGGCCAAGTGTACATCAAAATTATAACAGCATTTTAAATTTGTATTAGCAAATATGTAGATATAATCTCAAGTAATAAACGTTGTTTTAATTAAATGTGTTGTGAGCGCTATGCCATGTCTGATGGCCGATTCGGACCGGTCAAATCTTAAAATATATTTCAGGCATTTTGACGCACTGTGTTACGATTTGTTGTGTGAACTATGAGAATATTTTGATATTGACCTTATTTGAGACAATTTTACAAAACTAAGTGAATATTGAGATCACTTTGCAAATAACAATCAGGGTAACACACATTCATACATCCACACATGTTTCCCAACTTAGAGGGTGTTGGGTAGATTATTATGCAGATTATTATATACTAATTAGAGACGGACATAGTGCTTGTTATGTAAATAAGATGATATTGATTTTTTTCGACAGACGGGTCAATAGAACACGTATATTGACGCAGCATTCAGATACACAGATAGACGCAGATATGTATGCAAAATACCAAGTATTATAGACCGCCTTATATTAAGTAAAATAAAACAAAAATTATTTTCTCTAACATTGTTCATCTTTAGAATTTCTCGTAGACACCGTCGACACAATAATAGCGACCTAAAATATACATCTAAAGCATACATACATACTTCTCAACAAGAATCCGTTTCACAGTGGGAGAATTAGAAATAACTTTTGCCATAAAGCCAATTTGATTTGGAAAATTAATTTATTCATTTTTCCAGGATTATGTTTGTTTGTAAATTTGTTGATGTTCATATATTGTTAGCGTTTAATAAATCTCAAAAGTTTTGCAAGTTTTTTATTTCGTACGGGAACACAAAATTTTAAACATTTTAGATATTAGTAGCTTGTATATTTTCACTCTATTCGAATTTGCTATTGTATAACAGTTTTTAACAATTTCGATTTTTTATACGACGATAAGATAAGACGATAAGAACTACATTTTACTTTATACCAGATCCTGCTTTTAAAATTTTTTCGTTATCATAAAGTCAAATTCGGTTTTTATGATAACATTCTTGCTGGGTCTGCAACAGAACATTTGTTGTTTAAAACTGCCCAGGAATAACAATGTTGTTAATTTTGTCGTTTTTCAGTAAGTCATTTTAGGAGAGTAAGGAGGACATTACTCCTTCGTACGAAAATAGAGAGAAGTAAAAGGACAACATCTATCCAACATTTTATTTTATTCATTTTTCCCACACCTCACAGTTGTTCAACATATTTCGGAAGATGTGACAATAATGTTTCCATGCAAATAATCGATAAGACAGCTTCATAATGAGTATAGAGTAATTAACGAAAAAAAAACTGATAAAGATAGGTCCACGTTTAGGAATAGTCCACATAGAACCCCACCTCTGATTTGAAATCATTGAAGGGTTTTACCATATTTTTTAATCAATCTTCCTGACATTTAACATTTATGTTTCGGATAGGGCAACGAATTGATTTACCAAAAATTGTCAACATTGCATATTTTTTTGGTTTTGTCACCAACTGTACGCCCAATTTGCGGGATTTGTAATATTAGAAAAAAATCAACAGATTCGGATGCAATTTGGCAACAAGTCCCTCTGTTTGGTATACCTCACATGTAAAGATTATTTCACATTTGACGCTTTTTAAAGTTTAGGAACCATAAATGCAGACATATGCAGTTGAAACCAATTTTTCCTGATCCACGCACCTTTTCCAGTGTAGTGGAAAAAAGTTAGAGATTGGCCAGGAATGGTCAAGGAAGTATGACTCTAACTTAATGTGTAATCTGGCCATAATGTAATGCCATTTATGACATGATGAGAAAACCTTCAAGTATGCTAAAAATGTAAAACAAAGGCAAAATATATAAAAATGGGATTCAATAGATGACGTGCTTTGATGCAATAGTTGACGTTGGTAGTGGTATATATATATATATATATATATATATATATATATATATATATATATATATATATATATATATATATATATATATATATATTTATATATATATATATATATATATATATATATATATATATATATATATATATATATATATATATATATATATATATATATATATATATATATACATATATATATATATATATATATATATATATATATATATATATATATTAGATTTTCACTGATTTTTATCGATTCTATGTACAAGATTCTTGAAACCATGCATATCTAAGGCATTTTAGCCAGGTCTTCGGCCATCTATTGCCTGGTCGAACATAAAATGCGTTCCCGCACTCTAAACAGATTTTGCAACCGTTCACTTCTTTTATATGTTTTTCTTTAGAAGCTTTTTACGTCACGAATTTGGGCGAGTAAAAGTAAAAATCTGTCAAACAACTAATTTGACATTTCATTCAAAGTGATATCTATTGTTTCTAATCAAACCAATCTAAAATTTTCTTATACTCGTTTGCATTTTGTAGCGTGATTATTGTTTTTGACATGATTTTGACGTACTTTTTTTAAGTATTTTTTTTTCTGTGAGAGCATATAACAACAATTTAGCACTTTAACCTCTAATGTGTAATTGGGTCTTACAGCCTGTTTTTGTAACACTATTTTTTCATTAGTTTGGAAATTTGTCGAAAGAAAATATATTTTGGGTTTTTATAGTGTATGTTTTTTCTGTGCTTGACAAACGCAATAAAGCTTCTTCCCCCTGTATTTTTGGTTTTTGTGCCGAAAACTACAAACGAAATGTCATAAAAAAAAAACGATAAGAGGAGACCCAATGTTTTGAACAGAAATTTGCTGTTTTTTACAGAATCTCGCCAACATTGTATGTGTATGACGGGGAATTTATATATAAACTACTTTTACATATCAACTTTTTGTTTGCGGATCTTGCAGGAACTAATTCTTTAAATATTTTCTTGACATTTTTCAATTGTCTCTTGGCAGAAATAGATAGAATCCAAAAAAAAAAAAATTGCGTAAAAATGTCAAATTTGAAAATTTTCATTTTGAATTTGTACAATAGTAAAGCTTTATTTTGCAAATTTTTTGACTTACTATTTTGGAATGTACATTTGGAGTTTTTTTTTT